AGAAATCTAGACCGCAAAAAAATGTAACAAGCGAGAACCTGTTTTTCCTTGGCCAAGGTCAGGGTCCTTAAACACAACACGAGCCTAACGTGTCATCCATCACCTGGCCATCACGTGGTATACCTGTATATCTCGTCTTACAGGGGTGCAGTTCTGCCGGAGAGCACCAGAACGTCGCTCCAGAACTTTCACAAATTGCAGTACCCATAAGCACATGCCGCAGTTTTTGCGTGGCTGTGTCTTTAGTTGTAAGCCCAGTGGCGATCTTTTCATCTGTCATACTGATCATACAGTCAATAACTTTGTTGTTATTAGCATCTGGTTAGCTAGCTATGCTAACGAATATAACAAGCTTTTTCTACAACCAGTGAGGTAAAGGCACATCTTTATATGATCATTATAGTTATACAAAAATAAGAGAATAAAGTAAACAGGTATAACATACTATATGACAGTAAAAAAAAAAGTTGTTATTAATAAACAAGAATACAGTTTGAAAGGAGAGTGATTTGTAAAATATCCGTAAAGAAAAAGAAAATCTGCTTACAGTTCTGTTTCATATGGGTGTTGAGAGATGTATCCATAGATCTCTTCATGTTGCTCTCAAAGTGCACCAGATTGAAGTTTTTAACTTCAACATTTTAAAAACAAATCTCCCGGGGGAGCATGCCCCCCGGAACCCCCTAGAGAAACTAAATACATTTGCACACATCTTGTTTCCATATCTTTCTGTTTTGGTGGTCATGCCACAACCGTGTCATGGTAAGATATCTGGATTAAGAGGTTGCTTTTTCTTTGCACAGCATGAAAGAAAGGCGAAATGATGATGGCTGTGATTTTAGTATTTTTAAGCAGAGGTCAATAATTTGTACGGCCCTCGGAGGATGTTGTAAAAATTGAAATGGCCCTTGAGAGGAAAAAGGTTCCCGACCCCTGGTTTAGGGAACGTGGGAAATGCTAAGTTGCGGACCAGCCAACAAACAAACGTCATAGCTGCACCACTGTATAAGTACTTAGCTTCTCTTAATCAAACTGGACCCCTAAAAGGCTCTTAAATGTAAAAAAAATGGAGAAATCTTGAGTATCTTACATGTAGCTCTGCTCGCGGCTGACGGAGGTCTCTGTGTATCCAGAGGCGGAGTCCCTCTGCTGGAGCCTCGCCCCCCCCACCGAGCTCTGGTCCTGGTTCCTCGCCCCCCCCACAGAGCTCTGGTCCTGGTTCCTCGCCCCCCCCACAGAGCTCTGGTCCTGGACCCCCTGCTGGGCCTCGTTCAGAGCGTCGCTGATGAACAGCCCCTCGTGGGTGAGGTAGGCCAGCTCCGCCCCCCCGCCCTGAAGAAGCTCCGGGCCGGGGGGGGCCTCCTGAACTAAAGCGGCTTCCTCCAGGAGGCGGAGCTTCTGCGTCGACGCCAGAACCTCCAGAACCACGTTTTTAATCACGGTCTGAGTGGCCTGAAACACACAGCAGGGGAATAAAAGACGCAGTCAGACAGGTTTTAAAGGTCTCCTATTATACTATTTTTAGGCATATAAAATAGGTCTCAGATATATAAAAAAACATCTCTATGAAGTGTTTTTCTCAAGATACCCAACAGATCATCCATTCTAGCCCCGTCTCATCCCCCTCCATTTCAGCCCAGTTAGAGAAGTGCTGATTCTGGGTCCGTAGCTTTAAAAAAAAAAAAATTCATGCAGGAGAATTCTACCCAGATACTCAGCTTTTTGACACATACTCTCTCCAGCACAGGTTAGCTCTGAGTGTTAGCGATGCTCGCTAATGTAAACAAAGACCATATTACGTCCAAAACACGATGCGCATTGTTTCTGATAGCGACGTTTCTGATTGGGCCGTGGGTGTAAAGCCAGCCCACATTTCAGATATCACGTCATATCGGACGCAAATCTGGATCCGCTCAGTTGTTCCCCCGTTTTTAGAGATTTGGGTACGGAGGAAAAGAGAGAGGGGTTTATTTTCTGACGCTGCGTGAGTTTCCTGACACACCCGGGACACATATTTATGTATAGAAGACATCACAAAAGTCTAATTTTGCATGATGGGAGACCTTTAAAGTATTTTTCGGAGTCACAACACATCGTGACTCTGCAGCTGAGATCAGACTCACCTTGATCCGCTGCAGGAAGAGGAGGAAACTCTCAAAGACGTTTTTCAGCAGCTGGAACCACTGAGGGAACGTCATCATACGGGTCTGGTCCGCTACCCTTCAGACACACACATTTAACATAAAGTTAATAAAGATAATAAACCTGTATGTATATTAACTAAGCACATAAACACTCTTTATATAATTCCCCTTATATCCAACTTTATACTCCCCCTGCCTTCACTGAAAGCTTTAGTCTCTTTTCAGATTACACTTTTCACCCTCTTCCTGTTCAGTGTAAACCATGTATCTCCAGATGTGTTGATTTTAAAAGTTTGTGATGAACTGCAAGATGAAGATTTTTTTTTTTCATTTGAGTTATACTTAAAGTTCTCGGTAATCAACTGTTAAAAAAATACTGTTAAAAAAAAAATTCTCCAACAAATTGATGTTTTCAAAGTAAATGGATAATCGTTTTTAATAATCGTGATATCAATTATTGACCCAAATAATCGAGAATATGATTTTTGCCATAATCGAGCAGCCCTAGTTTCTAGCAAAAAATCTTTAAGAGATGACGTAAGCAGCCCTACCAGCATTTGCCATGGTGGCCAACATGTTTTTATTTGGTCTTAAATTGTAGTTCAACATGTATTTCCTGTTACTTCTGGACCATGACGGGTGGGCCGGCCTTTAATGTTTAACTGAGTGGAATATGTTGAACATGTTTTACCAAAACGTTGGATTTTTCAGGTTGTGACAGTGCACTGCAAAATGTTTGTTGATCTTGTTTATTGGTATTTATTATTTTGATATTATTTATTTAAATGTAGATATGAATGTATAATTTATTTTATTTTGTATGGATTGATTACCCTGAACATATAATTCAACAGTTAAAAAGTTAAAATTATTATTTGTATTTGTTTTAAAGTACAATAAATGGATGTTTTCAAAGTCAATGAATAATCGCAATTACAATTATTGACCCAAATAATCGAGATTCTGATTTTTGCCATAATCGAGCAGCCCTAGCGCCACGGCTTCCACAGATGAATTTTTATGTATTTATTGTCAAAGCACTTCAGATATTCATTGCTATCGGGATGTTAAGAGCATTCCATGGAATATAACAACCATGCCCGGGAGACCTCCCTACAACGAATTTAACTTTACCCGGGAACTCCTTCGGCTTTTTCCGAAGGGGTGGGGACCAAATCGCGCCTTGGCACATACCCCCTTTACGATTCAACGCCTGGTCGGGTTGTTTGTTTGCAGTATCGGGACGGTGGTGACATATTCGAATGAATCGACAGAGAATTAGTTTGACGCGCCTGGGGATTTTCCGAGAATTTACCGATTTTTTTACCTCTTTAGAACTCGATAGAATGTACGATCGAGACGAGTCGGCCGCTCTTCTCGGGCAAGACACATAGGTACTCCGCCTCGAGGGAGAACGACCTTCGGAAGCGGGGGGGGTGGCCTCGAGCCGAGGACCTCGGAGCGGGGGGGGTGTCTCGAGACCAGGACGCTCGGAGCGGCGGGGGGGTGTCTCGAGACCAGTGACCTCGGAGCCCGGGGGGGTGTCTCGAGACCAGGACGCAAGGAACGGGGGGGGTGGTCGTCGAGAACCAGGACGCTGGGGGACGACCCGGAGCAAGTCGTCGTAGCGACTACTTGTCGGGGAGTCACCCACTCATGCCGGTCCCGAGGCGGGGCGGACCTCTTCGGAGGCCCCGGACCCCCCCCCCGGAGGACTTGATTTCGCCGAAGGAGTCTCCGCGCTCGTAAATGACGGCGCATCTGCGGTCTTGGAGGTCTTGGGTGTCAAAAATAGTGCCGAGACTCGACGGGACTTTGTGTGTCGTCCCCTTATTTTCTGCGTCAGTCCAAATTTCCAGAGGATATATGATAAAAGATCCGTGATATTTTTATCGCAGAGTCTATATATTTTTTTGTAGAGATACTTCACAAAAAGATGTTCTATGGGTTGTCTAGTGGGTAGATCCGGGGGCCAGAGTAGGGGGTGGTAAAGTCCCCCGGGGTCAAAATCTCTTCGGACTGACGTAAGACCCAGCGATCGGAAATTTTTTTTTTTTTTAAGTACGGGTGTCTCCTTAAGTAATGGGTCCTATGACGTCGAAAAACTGTGTATGAGAGAGGTCCAATCCGGAGACTCAAACGGGCTACGATGCCGATTACGATTTGTTTTCTGGTCTTAATGGCAGTTTTGTGCAACGCGTAACAAAGACTATAGCCTGCAAAGACTAAACGCCGGCACCGCCCCACAAATTTTCGGTCGGGTGTAAAGTCTAGAGTGCATATAGTCCTCGTTTAGACCGCTAAGGCGAGTCAATGAAGGCGGGGCAGCAACAAAGATCTCCTAAGCCCATGCTCTTTACGTCCTCTCCCCAAATAAAAAGACTGCGACGCACTCAAGGTGGCTGCGTGGCCCCTGTGTAGAAAATACATATCTTCTGTAGTGTTTTTCAGATTAAAAGCGTACTACGCTCGTGGAAATTTCATAAAAAGCCTAGTGTTGTGTAGCTACTAGACGTCGACTCTGTCTGAGTTGTGGCAACTAGCGGCGCGCGTCCTTCCTCGCTCCGTTTGAGAGTTTCTGCAAAAAAGTCGTCGAACCATTGGTGTACTCCCTTGCCAGTAGTATGCCGGCGAAGACGCAGGCGATGGGAAGTCTGTGTGTCGTAAATTGTATGTCAATATATTTCCTATTATTGGACTATACTATCATAATGTGATTCGTCGTATGTCGCCTGAGAGTTTATATATTTCATGGTAATATAGGGCTTTGTATTAAGTTATCAGTGACTCGGCTGACGGCAGCTGACTTTCGATATGAGTGAGAGGTTCTTCATCGTTGAGATACGTCTAATGGTTTATGTGCGTTGAAGATACTCCCTCCCCGAGACAAGCCAACATTCCTGGTCACTATATGAGCTCTGTATCACAGATTTACACCAAGAATCTTTTCAAGCGGTACGGTACTTGGTAATCGTCTCTACGTATAATTCTAGAAAAGCAAAATAGTAAGCTCACGATATGCTAACTGTCTCGTAGGGAACTTAGCTGATTAGTCGTGATCTAATGGTTTTGTTACGTCGAGACCGAGATCTTTGCGTCCTAAGAGGTTGCTCGTAACTGTGACAAAAGTTTCATTTGCGACATATTACTCTAGCCTGACGACAATTATTACGTCACTATAGTTAAGTAACTCGTCTCACCCGTCAGTCTCTCTATAACTCACAACCGTATTAGCTCGTCGCGAAGCCATCCAAACGTCGTCAGCAATTACCTCTACTTCCATTCTCGTCGGGTGATGGCGTAAACGGTACCAGCTGGACCCACTGTACACTAATACACCACACAGAACTCGTAACATCACGTCGCGTCATAAAGGACAGTGAGCGCGACCGCCGGTACCTTGCAGTGCACCCGGTCGGAAGTTATCTTACTAGAATTGATCTCGACCTACTATACACTTATACACAAATGGTTTTACAGCCAATATAGCAATTCTTAGCAGGAAGTCCATAGTCACGACTGTGATTCGTTGTACAGAACAACTTAGAACAGAAAGCCCATATATAATATTCATCTGTAGATAGAATAAACTGTTTACAGCGCTCTATACTTACAATACATAAAATAGCACATAACTTTAAAAGTCAAAACTAATTGACTTGCTAGTATTGAAGTTGTCAAATTTTTTGGCGCAAGAATTAATAATTACATATATACATAAAATCATGGTATTTACCCTACAAAAGTTTCACTTACTATGTGCGCTTAATAACCGGGTGTATTGCCTCTAATTACGTGAAAACGGTCTTAGCTCTCCGGGATCAGTTGCCGATAATGTCTCTGTATAATATTATCTATTAGACGAGTTTCGTGAAGTCTTATGTAACCATAGTCTACCTACAAAATTATCTCTTTAATGTACCTATCATTGTTCTTCCCTGACACTAGACTTCACGACAATTCTGGATGGGGTGGAATTTCATATTTTACCAAGTGTACTAGTGTCTTAGTGACTTTCAACCTGATCTCCCTGTGGAATTAGACATCAACACTAAATTTATTGTTGAGTCTAATAACCCATTAGAAATCTGTGAAAGGTTAAACACTGTAATTTGTAAAATGTGAATTTCACACCCCATCCATTAAAGTGAAAGTC